GCTGTTACGTTTCCTGTTAACGCCGCTAAAAAAATATCGCTTAACGCAGGTGCAACTTTCGAACCGATGCAAACGTCTGTTTTTCATGCGAAAATTTATCTTGCCAACCAATGACGGTAGATTTAGGATACATAAACAGGACTTCGAGGAAGGATACGAGCAAAACGCCACTGCTTGCCTTAAACTTAAGGCCGTCATTGAATCATGAAATGCATATTTTAACACTTTCTATGGCGTAGATTTGCGGTAAGGTAAATAACAAATCCTCAACGTCCACGCTTAGAGCAACGAAACCCTTTAGAGACTGCTTTTTAAGAAATGGTCGTCACTGGTGCCGTAAGAGCATCTAACAGTCCATGGGTGTTTCTAGTTGTTTTAGCTCCAAGATGGACAGCAGTTAAATGCCATTGTGGTTTGAGACTCATAACCGTTCCCATTAATCGACTCTGTTATGTAATTTCTTGGGGCTGCCGATTTTTTCACTATGCTACACTGCTGCAAAGGCTTCTTGCAAATCCCGTTAGTAGAGTGCGGTGTTGAGAAAACGGCATTTACTCGTCACAGGGGATTGTTCGAGTTTACGAGGTTACCCTTCGGATTGGCCAATTTACCAGCCACATTTGAGCGCGTTATGGACATTGTGCTTCGAGACGCCAAATTCAAATATGCAATGACCTACATGGACGACGTGCTAGTTTTTTCGCAAACCTTCGACGATCACCTGATCCATATAACCACAGTATTGCCAAGAATGCAGGAAGAAGGCATCATGATCAACCCCCAGAAAGTTCAGATTGTCTCAAACAAAATCGACCTCTTAGGTTTTGTTGTCGAGCAAGGCACAGCACAACCAGATGAGCGGAAACTTCAGGCAATCCTGTATTATCCACCACCAACGGGTGCCGAGAGTTGCAATGGCTTTTGGGTATGGTAGGCCACATCATTTCTCACTGTGCTGATCTGACCAGACCATTTCACAGCTCTTGCGCAAGAGGGCCCATTGGTCTTGGGCTAACGTGGAGCATAATTGAAAAATTTTGTTCAAGCGCACTAAAAAAGACGGGCAGAAGAGGCTCACAAAGACAGTTGGACAGCAAGCACTGTCCTCGTCAGCCTCTTCCGTCCGTCTGCTCTTTGTGCACTTCAACAAAATTTTTAATTATGAACGTTATTCAACTGGCCCAACTTGCCATCTTGCTGTAACGTGGAGCATGCTGTATTCCTGGCTATTTCGCAGGCTATCACTGATACATCACAGTTACCTCTCTGACCTAAAATTGTCCTTCACTGTGAAGACTGATGCTTGTGAATAATGCCTTCGAGCAAGTTTGGTTCAGGAATATCAAGGAATGCTTTACCCACTAGCATTTGCGAGCCACACGCTCTCGGGCACAGTAGGGAACTACACCATAACAGAGAAAGAGTGCTTCGGAATCGTATTCGCACTGAATAAATTTGACATATACCTGGATAGAGTCTTATTTACGATTCAAACCGATTACCACGCGCTGTCATGGCTGTCGAATATCAGAACCCCAACCGGTCGTCTGGCGCAGTGAGCTCTTTCTATTCAGAAATATAATTAAGTACAAGAAAGGCACCGGAAACAAAGTGGCTGACGCGCTTTAAAAAGCGCCAATGTCCGGAGGTGGCAAACTCGCCGCCGAGATCTTGGCTGTGACAATGCCTGAAGATTCACGAGGAACACTGATCAGCAGCTTTTCGACGCTCAGAGAAGCGACGCCCAGTGCGAGCAAATATGCGGTGCCCTGGCCACTGCCAATGCCACCGGGACCACACAGTGCACGAACAGCTATGGCAGTTGCTTATAAGCTGATGATGGCCTGCTCCTGCGTTACGTACCCTCACTTGATACGCATGATGGTGAGCCTCCATTCCGCGTTTTCATTCCTCGGAGTCTACGCAAAAGTTTCTTGGTGCACTTTAATGACACACGCCTCGCTGGTCAGAGTGATGTCAAGAGAACTTTTGAAAAGTTGTGTCACGTCGCCACATGGCCGCACATGAGAAAGGAAGTCCCATCACACGTTCGCACTTGCCCTCTGTGAGACCAATAAACCGAGGGAAGGCAAACCACCGGGCTTCTTGAATTCTGTTGAAAACAAGTGCCCATGGAAAGTTCTCGCCTAGAGTGTCGATCCTTGTTAGTAATCACTGACCATTTATTGAAATGGGTAGAGTTGTGCCCATTACGCCATCTGGATTTGAAAATAAATTGGGATTGCCGGCTGCAGGCGTTTACTCACTTCGGTTTTACAAAGCAGCTAATAAAAGACAACGCCACATATTTCACAGGCAGAATATTTGCGGACACTTTGAAAGATCTTGGTGTACACCACAAAAGAACGACACTTTACCAGCCTCAGGCCAACATTACTGAGTGCGTCAACAAAAACCTTAAAACAATGTTGGTAGTTTTCAGTGACCAGCACAGGGACTGGGATACCCGCGTACAGAAAATGGCATTCGCCACGCGAACAACATTACTCCGGCAGCCATTTACACCGCCACGCGACTGGCTTTAGCACGGCAGCCTTTGTAATAGGTCTCGAGTTCGAATTCCCCATCGAACATGCACTCACACATGACTCCGAATCACCGCGCTGCAAATACGCAATGTTCGCGCCAAATCTTTCCAGTCGCTTGAGCGAAACTTTGCAGGAAGCCAGGGAGAACTTAGAACTAGCCCGCTTGGAACATTGGAATCAATATAACAAGGGCAGGCAACCTCTAGAGTTCGCGGTCGCTGATGCGGTGGTCCGCCACACGCACCCACTCAGTAATGCAGAAAAAGCGTTTGCTGCCTCCCTCGCACCACGATGGGATGGCCCCTACGTGATTGGAAAGCAAATATTTAGGTTAGCATACCTTCTCAGAAACAAACGCAATGGTCGAGTAACAGGCCCTGTAAACGTGTGTGACCTCAAAGCTTACTACCAGCGCCCATTAAACGAGTAAAGACTTTCCCCCACTATCGTCGACGTTGCTGTACTGTGTATGAGTTTGTCAATTAGAATTCAGTGCCCTTTTTTGTTGTTGTTGTCCTAGTGTAGTAATGTTCCCTTTCGCAGAACACCCACCGCGTCTTTAGTGTTTCCTACCTAGACAGCGACAAAGCACAACGCTAACATCAGTCATGAAACACCAGCCCAGTCCCCTGTGAACACCGTCACACGCTACGTGCGCTTTCCATTCTGTGCAACCGGTGGGACAAAGACACGTCACGAAGATTTATGTGATGTGTGTGCAAGCTCCGATCGGTGCAACTCATGAGAAAGACATGCGACGAGTGGTTATGTGCGGTGGGGCCTGACAAACTGCGTCGACATGAACACGTGGCTAATAATGAAGTGTTGTGGTGCCCGATGAACTGGGTACACTAATCAGGGACTGCTTCTTAGTTTACTATCTTGTATTTTTTATAGTGTTCAATATTTTCTTTAGTAGTCGGAAGATTATATCCATCAGAGTAGTGTGAGGCCAATGGGCTCTTATCTGTAGCGTGCGTGGTAGAAGCAGGGCGAGGAGAGCACAGGCGCATTCCACATGCGCGGGACGAGCGTCAGCACCCCAAAAAGCCACAGGAGGCGGAAAAGTGGCGGCGTGAGTGATCGGATGCGGTGTCGGTCACGCTAATCGCGATGTGACTTTCCTCCGTGCGTCGCCCCCGACGCCCCCGAACCGACATGGCACTGCGGTTTGGGAGCGTTGTCTACGGCAAATTGCGTGCGCGTTTGATTTACTGCTGTTATGTCTCGCGCTAGCTTTCCTGTCATGGTTTCACTGCATATGTCTCATTGAACGCCAGTCTGCAGGGACTGTTTGTTCCGGGTTTTCGGTTTTCGGTTGTGCGTTAGTGCCGTGTTGAGCCGTTTCGGAAGGCTGTTTGTGATTTTGAGTCCTGCTATAAAGGCGATTTTCGTTCCCTGCGCTGCTGACTAGCACACTGGAAGATTTGGCTCACTAACCCCCCTCACTGGAGGCGGGGCCTTCAAATAAAAATTTGTGTTTAGGAAGGACCGACTGTATTGTTGACAAAGTTGTCAAAGTTGTTTTCGCGGTTTGAGCAGCAGGAACTTTAGAACAGGCGAAATAAAAGCTTGTCTTGCTCAGCCCCCATGAGCGCGCTGAAAGTATGGGCGTAAAAACATACGCCGTCTTCGTTTCCTCCAGCCCGCAGCAGGTGTTCTTTTTAATCTTCCACCGCTGCCTCCATGAAAAACCCATGACATATGTCTTTGCCGGAACTAATCGAAAATTCCTCCCTTCAGAAGTGCTGCTGTTGCAGATGACGCGGCATACCGAGAATAACGTCACCGTTTTAGCTCGGCGTCTCAAGAAACCTGGCTGCCACAGCCACTCTTTTATCTCGAAAAAGTGCTATTGGCGTTCACTTTTGAGTACTCTCACATCGCATTTCTAATTCAGCGGGGATCAAACTGTCGTTACTCTCCCCTAAGTCATTTTTTAGAAGAAAGCTTCAGCTTCTCTTTAACGCATGTTTCAAGGCACCACCTGTGATACCTCTGGGTCAATTTGTGTTGACCAGACAGTCATCATTCTAGTCTATCAATGCACGTTGCTGTGAGCATGTGGGCTGTAACGTTTAATTAGCCGTCCTAAAAAGAAATTAGAAGCGGTCATCTGAAGCCCTCACATCTACACTTGCCCACTTCCATCCTCCTCTCCGCCGGACAAGGTTAAAATATCTGTTTGAAAAGCCCACTCACGAAGACAAAGCTTATATTGATTGGCGTGGCAAACGCAAGAAAGAAAGCGAAAAAAAAACAAAAATAATAGTATGTTCAAAGAACGACAAAATAGCTGCTGCATAATGCTTAAACATAAAAAATGCACAATGAAGGAAATTCTCTCCAGCAGTTTCTCTGGTCATCCGGGCCACATCTCTGCGGTACGTTCGTCTAATGATATGTAGAATGAGCTGCATGAAATAAAGATAATGATGAAGTGGCACTCACAGTTGAGTTTTTCGTCGATGTTGCCTTTTGTTGTTATGGATATCGCTCGGATGAACTCCTTGAAAGTGATAACGCCGTTCTGGAAATGATTTTAAAAAAAGTACACAAAGAAGTGAGACACACAGTCATACTCAATAAAAAGTGTGTAATTGTCGTTTGTTTTTCGACCTTCTTGAATGGTTGTACTTATTTCTAGTAAACATCCAGAAGCGAGAGCCGGTACACGAGCTCAAAAATTCCCAATACGACCCTGAAAGGGCGTATCGAAAGCTTTCAGTTGGTTTCAATGTGAGTCATTGCTTCTGCGACGGAAAGCAGTCCTTAAAAGGGGCATATAGTATTATTCTTGCAACAGTGGGCCTAATGGGATATTAGTGGGACACTGTTCAAAAAACGAGAAAGAAACATGAATGCGCAGATGTGGCTTTTTTTCTCGTAAAGAGTCAAATAAACTCTAGTGGAAACCTGTAACAAACACTTTTCATGGTACAAACATTAATGTGTAGCCAGCTCAAGCATGCTTTTTCCATTGATTGATTGATTGATATGTGTGGTTTAACATCCCAAAACCACCATATGATTATTAGAGGCGCCGTAGTGGAGGGCTCCGGAAATTTGACCACCTGGGGTTCTTTAACGTGCACCCAAATCTGAGCACACGGGTATGGTGGCTAGAAGGAGAGGTGTCAGCATCGGCCCGCCGGCGAGCGTGCGAGAATTCATACGGATGCGGCGGCGCTGCGGTCATTTTCGAGATGCCCCTCCTCGAAAGTATCAGTCGTTTTTCATTGTAAATATTTCACGCTACTCTGCGGTAACAAAGTCTAGCTGTCACAATTCTGGCGGTGTGCTGCAAAGCGTGTATTGGCACTGAAAACTAGTGTTTTCAATTCACTTCTTAGTATATCAGCTAGGAAGCTTAGAAGATAGAGAATCAAGTGATTTGCCGTGAGCTTGACACCAAAACAACGTCATGCGGTTTTGAAATTTGATGCCACAGTGTTCTCCGTGAAGTCTTGATGCACGTAAAGGTATGGACAACCATTATTTTTATCACTCGCGCTATCAAGGTCTTTATTTTACAAGCAAGACATTTATTTTCTCGAAAGTGAAAAACAACATGAAAATAAACACAACATATGCATTAGGGTGAAGAAATTTGCAAGTTGTACGAAACTCTGCTAAAGCAAGTGAATAAGGCAACTAAAGAGAACAGTAAATATACGATGGTACAATGGGTTACATACACACATAACATTGAGATTTCATTGGCAAACATATATACAGTCACACACCAGTTCACAAAAAAAATTGATTTCTGCATATGCGAACACAGCCAGACAGTGATATCACAGTTGTTAATGGGGGATTTATAAAAATGTGAACAAGACAATAGTGAAATCCCAAGAAACAACAGAGTGTGAGTAATGCGCAATAACATGAAACAAAACCTTGTTCGCTGAGTTAATACTGTGACAGGTAAGTCAGACGTCTCAACTTCAAGAACTTCATTTTTTTTCTCTTTTTTTGATTGGACGCAGTTTCTACAGCAAGAGAAAATGCATTCTGGTCAGTGTAAAGAATCTAATTTTCTGATTTGTCACTTCAAGTTTGTGGTGTTCACAGCCGACCATAATTAATCTCTTCATAGACAGGTAAGAGATAAGGTCTGTTGTGCTGTCACTTCTCAACTTGTTGAAACTGAAGCAATAGATGAACGCATCTTCCATAACTCTGACCAGGTCTGTTAAGAACTCGGACGGGTAGAGAAGGCGTGATTTTGCGGGAAGTAAGCTGGGATTCTGAGTGAAGCAGCAGCCTGCTACATTCGTTGCACTTCGTCTTTTTCACCATCTTCCGGGCCACATAGCCACTCACGTAATAAGTGATCCAGAAGTCACTTTTGCGTCCAATGAGATCAGTGTAGTCAGAGAGGGCTTCACAAGCAGCAATAATTTCAGGAACCTCATTGAAGCGCCCCACATTTAGCAGCTCATCCCGCTCATTCTGCAATTTTATTGAATTATTGCGGATTTCCGGACATGGAAGGCTGCTCGGAACTCCAGAAGGTATGTTTGCACTGGGGGTGACTGTGCCAAACTGTAAAAACTGAGGCAAGTCACAGAGTTGAAAAATTTTGTCGGCCAAGGGTGATAATTCGAGCCAGACATTTCCTTCAGAACTCCAAAAGGATTTCAAGTGCGTCTTGAAAGAGGCGAGACATCATTAATTATTTGTAGCGCAAGGTTTCCGCATGGAAAGGGTGCTGGTTAGAGTGACGCAGAGTCCTTCGGCAGTTGATTCACTCTGGAACCCCCTCTCCTTAAGTACAGCTTTTTCCCAAGTTGCTAAGAACCCGTTAACAACATGCTTGTAGCTACGGATGATGAATCTGTCGTCGAAATGAGCTTCGCACACAACGCAGTTCTTTTCCAGTAGCTTCCAGTGGTTTTCCAGGGGTTTGTCCAGGGGTTTGTCAGCGCGAGGAATCACACACTCCGAGGCCTTGTTCTGTTCATTGTTGGCGGGAGCAGAGAAGAGAAACGCTTTCTTTCCTTATTTGCGGGGCGAAGCATATCCCGCAGACGTTGCGACTTGCGAGCACACGAGCAAGCGACTAAAAGTGCCGCGCTAGCGGCTGGTAAACGCTCTCGACCGATCACGGTGGCGACTTGCACGCCGCTCCGCGGCGAGAGGAACTACCAGCACGCCTCCTTTCAAGGCGCGGCCCGGACGATGCTGACACCTCTCCTTCTAGCCATCATAACACGGGCCTACAACATTTCCGCCTCCATCGGAAATACAGCCGCCGCAGCCGCAATTTCATACCGCGACGTGCGGGTCAGCAGCCAAATACCTTAGCCACTAGACCACCGCAGTGGGGCATTGTTTTTCCAAGTAGGCTCGTCTTTCCTAGATACCGCATATATATATACTGTGGCTAATATATCGCCACGAGGGTCATGATGCTAACAACGACAGCACGCGGTACGTTCAAGATCAAACTGGTCTTTGGGCTGAACTTGTGACCGGTAAATACAATGTCCAGGTGGCGGTACACTCTAAGGCAAAATTACCCGAAAAAGGAGTAACGAAGCTCAATAGGGGCGCGTGATGAACGGATATACCGTTGAGGAGCAACCACAGAGGGAAGCGTGTGGCGCGAAACCACTTAGTCTCCATTGGTATGAACCACCCTGGCATTGCAGGCAGCGCGAAAAGCGTTGCCAAGGTGACCATCCCTCTTTCTCCACAGAACAAATGTCCTTCTACTCTTCTGCTGGCTTAGGCTTTCCCTGTATTTTGCCTGCGGCGGTTGCGTAACGTCGTGCTCGGAGTGCTCGACCAGGGCCGCCTGGATTTGACGATCTAAGAATTCAGACGTGGTGCTTGTGTGCGGCCTGGATGAGCGTGGGCTGCTGCTTTAGCGTTTCGTTGCACCCATGAAGTCTGGAGCAAGCCTCGGCAGGTCACCTCGCCGCGCTGTATATCTCTGGCTTCAAGACAGTCACGACCAAAACACGACAGCAACAATTGGGAAGGCCAATATGGTGGCCGGGAAAAACAGGCCTATCGGATATATACTTCAGTCCAACTCAGGACAGAAAACAGCGCTGGATTCTAAGGCAAGTAGGTTATCATTCTTTATTCTACTTTGCTTGTCGCGTGTGCGATACGAATCGCACTTGCCGGTAAAGGGCTTGGTCGTGTTGTATATCCCACGCACGGAATGCATCGCGAAGGTCAGCTTCGGCGTCTTCAGTTCGCCTGTGCTTCGCAAACGCCTGGAGATTGGCCGCCATTGCGGTCGGCCTCCCGTACGCTCGCTCATCGAGTGCTTGCCTGTCTTTGCCACCGCGATGAGCTCCGTGCTGATGATATTGGGCTGAGACGTCGTCCTTGTGTTGGGAGTCGTCGAAAACACGTTGCGGGTTCTCGTAAAGAGCTTGGTTGTAGTATGTCACGCGCTGTAAGTGCATCAGCACGGGCTGGCGGGGCTTTGGTTAGCGTCGGAACTCACTGAAAATTGATCGCCATTACAGTTGGCTTTCCCGCCAGTCGGTTGCAAGCAGCTCGGAGCCGTCGTCCGCTTGCCGTGGCGGCGGACTCGCGTTTGCGCGGTGCACTCGCTCGAGTTTGTGGAAAAGGACCGCATTACCGTCGATTTCTTCGGCGCTAGCTCCAAACCAGCTCGGTGCCCTTCGTGGCGGTGGCCAAGCGTACGGTCGCTCTCCTGTTCGAAGTTCGCTGGCGGCAGACACTCCGCGTTGAGTGCCGTGTTTGGTCTCGCGTTTGCTTGCTCGAGCTGAACGATTTCGCTCGCTTAGGACTCGCCGACTTGTTAGCGGCACGGTGGTTCGTGGAGTTGTGACTGCGGCCGCCACTCCTAAACTGTTGCGCTACCGGGATCGAAATGAGTCTTTGACGATGTGTGACATCACGGTGAAATTATTAGCATGTAATATCTCACGTATGTTTTCATTTCACGTTGCACGTATTTCTCATATGCATTTGTATTCATCCTCTGTCACGTGTGACTCACTATTTTACATAATTATTGTTCAGGCGTGGACACACACCGTGCTGAAGACTGTGCGCTGGCGTCTGCGATGCCCGTCTTTCGTCTCTTTCGTTAGAGCAGCTTCAGAAGGATTGAGCAAGATGTGAAAGTAAAAGTTATTTGTGTGTCATATTTTAACGCTTGTTTTTATGTTTAACGTGCACGTACTTGTCATATGCGTGCATCTTCATCTTCTGTGACGTGTGCCTAGCTATTTTTACTATAATATTGTACGCGCAGCCATGGGAACACAACAGGCAGGAGGCTGCGTGCGCTGGCGTCTGCAATGGCTGTCATATATCGCTTCCGTCGGATGAGCTACCCAAGGAGTGAACGAGATTTGACAACGAGACTGGACTTGTACACTTCACCATGAATTCACTTAAAAGAATGGGGAAACTTCATGTGTATGAAGAAAAATAAAAGATTTTGATGTATCACTTTGGTCTTTTGATGTTGCCGTGAATGTGAAAGCAGTTACACATATGGGTAGGTAGCAACTACTTTTTCGCGAGTTCTTTTCTGCTGAATTTGTTGCTCACTGTGCAGGAAAACAGGCGAAAAAGTATTAGGCCTGGCGGAAAATAAACAAAACAATCTTTAAACTGGGGACAAAAAGTTCATACAATTGGAGTATTTGAGTGGATCAACCCTTTGTCCGGCAAGGTGTAACTGTGAGGACTAACGGTTGCCTGGTAATGTGTAAATGTAGGGATTAAAAGTTGCTCTATAAAGTGCAAATGTGAGGACTAAATGTTGGTCCTTTGGGTTGAACTGTGAGACTAACGGTTACTCACTAAGGTGTAAATGTGTGGACTAAATTTTACTCCCTTTAGACCCGGTGCCGTTAGTCCTTAAAGGGATCAATGGTTGTGACAGCCCCATTAGTTTCCAAAAGGACGAACGACACACCCTTTTGCCTTAGAGTGTATAGTAAGGCACTCATAGTGGTTAGCAGAGCGTCGGCCGTCGACCGTGTGACAAGCAGTGAAGCTCTTCAGAATTTATACTTGTGCCGCCATAAATTCCAGCATTATCGCATGCGGCCACGTAAGTTACAGAATATTCTCTAATGTTTTTGTTGCGCGTGTACATTAACAAACGGATGTACTACAGTCCCGAAGCTTCTCGAACACTGCTGGTGCGGTGGGCGCTGATTAATAAATACGGAGAAACAGGGCATTAACAAAACTTGAGGAGGGATCGTGTCACAGCCCTAATCTGACAAAGGCCTCATCCCCATGCTTTAACAAATGATGAAAATTCAATAGGAAACGAAGAGGATAAAAACAATAAGAACGAAAATTAAACACAATAGCAACAAAGTACAGTCTTCAGGTTCGCGCGGAGAAAGACTTCAGGCGCCGATGTGGACGACTACCGGCTGTGCAAGCCGCAGTTGAGAGTTCGTAATACCATCGGGAACAACCTCGTTGTCGAGTGGGTCGAGATGTTGAACTACTCTGTACGATGCGTGCCATCAGAGAAGTTTTTCGCCGAGTCCATGCAGGCGTATCGGCGTCTACACCCAAACTGGGACGGTGGGCTGGTATTCCATGAAGCTTCGTCGAAGATTGTAACTGCAACTGTCCGTCGTCTATTGATTCCTTCTGCGCACTTTCGCGAGAGTGAACAAAGGAGCGCGTGGCTTTCTGTGCGTCTAGCACCGTTTGGAGACATATCACAGTATTTGTGCGCATGAGCGAGAAGAGCCGCTTCCCTTTGCGCGCATACGTCGCCGCTGGACTCGTGTGTCGCCTGCTAGCTAGATTTCGGCATCCTTGGTGATCGTCTCATAATGACGACTAAAATTGGGATCTCTTTTGTTCTAACGGTGTGTTTCTTAAGCCTGCCGTGTCACTTGCTTCCATTTCATTGATTATTATGTAGGGTTTAACGTCCCAAAACCATCATATGATCATGAGAGACGCCATAGTTGAGGGATCCAGATATTTCGACCACCTGGGGTTCTTTAACGTGACTCAAATCTGAGCACACGGGCCTACAGCATTTTATCCTTCATAAAAAATGCAGCCGCTGCAGCCGGGATTCGCTCCCGCAACCTGCAGGTTAGCAGCTGAGTACCTTAGCCACTAGACCACCACGGTGGGGCACTTGGTTTTCGTCCTTCTTTTGTGCGTCCTTGTAGTCACACATGGAACAGACAAATGAGCACAAACACCCGAACTGTTATTTGGGACACGTTTCACAAAAGACTAATACGTTGAAGAAAGTTGTATTAGTTATGTAGAATAGTTTTGCTCGTGATGCATTAGGGTTTTCTCATGTCACCCTTTGAAAACACAAAAGAGCTGCTACAGGGGCGTAGCCAGAATTGTTTTCGGAGGGAGGGGGGGGGGGCGGGTCAAAAACGACACGACTGGAAGGGGGAACAGGCATAAGCTGCTCCGTGACGTCCCTTTTGGCGGTATTTTAAACAGATAGTGTACATGTATATCAAGGCAAGAGATTTCCCTCTCCCCATGGGTGTGTTTGTGGAGAAAGTAAGTCAAAGTTTAGACTGGAAGAATGACTGACATGTGGGGTTGAACGTTCGAAAAGCACCATATGATTATGAGAGACGCCATAGTGGAGGGCTCCGGAAATTTGAACCACCTGGAGTTCTTTATTGTGCACCCAAATCTGAGTACACGGGCCTACAGCAGTTTCGCCTCCACCGAAAATGCAGCCATCACCACTGGCATTCAATTCCGAGACCTGCGGGTGAGCTGCCGAGTACCTTAGCCACTGGACCGCGGTGACCGGGCAGTACTGTAAGACGTACTGTAAAAAAACAGTAAGCGACATGTACAGAGACCATTTGGAGCAACGGCCTTTCGTTGCATCATTGATTTGACTAGTATTAGAAAAATCATTATTGCGATGACCCACCCTATCAAAGAAGACATCGTTAATCGTTAATCTCTTTTAGGCGTAGATGGCGTAGTTGTCGTCGCAGTGAAGTGTGTTTCACAGGTCAAGGACGGTTCCGCTAACAGGGAGGAATGAGAGGTACACACGCAGCATGGTTTTGTGCATTCATAATTTTAATTTGGTTTTACTTACTTTGCTGAGCGAATTTCTTACTGTCGATTTCTGTGACCGCATGCCTTTGGAAATTATTTTTATGTTAATCTCAATATGTCAAGCAGCCCTGATGCAGTGGTAGCTTTTAGTCAACTATTTTTTACTTTACTGCGCATGCTTGCGATCTGCAATAAGTAATTTTTTTCCGTAAGATATGCTGCACGTTTGCAGCGCGATTTTCCACACTTTGTTTTTCGGGAAGACTTTCAGCTAAACTGACTTTTGATAGCAATGAAGTACTCCAATAAGTTATATCATGCAATCTGCAAAGACAAGGTAATCTTTGATGAGAAATGTTCACTTCATCTCAATCGAAAGTGCACGTGCGACCGGACTATGCCTACTCGCATAAATCTAGCTAGTTCGTTGCGTATATGCGCTAAAGCACTTAAATACGTGCAACAAGACGCGGAAGGAATGTTCTCGTTTTTGCGTAGCTCTCGTCACTCGGCTCCCGGAAACGATAACATTGCGGCAAGGTGTCTTCCGTTGTTTGCAAGCGTGCAGCCGACATTTCCCTTACGTCAACAGATTCAGAACTGTAAAGAATATTTCACCAACCAACACACATGCATTCATGTTTCTGGCACTTACACCGGCGTGAACAGGAGCAGCCTCAAACCACACGAAATCTTCAGTGATTGGTTCACCAGTGATGAAGAAATAGACTCCAGAGTTGTTCAGAGTCGAGTTCACCATAATCCATTTTTCAGAACCCGTGAACTCCGACGAGAGCTGTCAGCGCATGCTGCACCCTCTACTGTGCATTGTCCATGCTGTTGGTTGTCTGTTTCGGGAATTCTGATGCGAGTCACTGGAATTTCACTGCTGCTACCAGCTCGATTCCTCGCGTTCATTCCCGTTTGTGGTATTTCATCACAACGTCAAAGGAACTACCAATCTTCGGGTGCAATCACAAACGTGAGAAGACTCGCGCGCAGAAGAAGATACTGCGCGAGCACAACCTTACTGCTGGCGCCTGAAGGGAAGGGGAGGAAATGTGCACCAGCGAATCTCCGCCAGGCGAGAAACGAACACCAGTGTTTGAGGCAAAACTTTATCAGCCGACATGTATCGTCACTAAAATTTTCGTTTCTCGCAGTCAGGGTCACTGCCCGAACTTTACTGAGTGCATTGCTCCCTAGCACTGCTGACTCGCCGGTCGCGGGTTCACATCCCGGCTGCGGCGGCTGCATTTCCGATGGAGGCGAAAATGTTGTAGGCCCGTGCGCTCAGATTTGGATGTACGTTAAAGAACCCCAGGTGGTCAAAATTTCCGGAGCCCTCCACTACAGCGTCTCTCATAATCATCATACGCAAATCTGCACTTTTCTGGCTTCAGTGTGAGTCCGGACGTCTTGATGGCTTGAAGTACAGCTTCAAGGCGCCGAAGATGCTCGTAGAAACTCGAAGAAAACACGACGACGTCGTCCAAGTACACAAGGCAAGTTTGCCACTTCAATCCTGCCAGTACTGTATCCATAACGCGTTGAGAAGTTGCAGGCGCTGAGCAAAGGCCGAAGGGCATCACCTTAAACTCGAAGAGGCCGTCTGGTGTTATAAACGCCGTCTTCTCTCGGTCTCTTTCGTCGACTTCGATTTGCCAATAGCCAGTCTTGAGGTCCATTGACGAAAAGCACTTGGCGTTATGGAGCCGATCAAGTGCGTCGTCTCTTCGTGGGAGAGGATACACGTCCTTTCTTGTGATTTTGTTCAGGCGGCGATAATCGACGCAGAAACGTAGGGTCCCATCTTTTTTCTTCACTAACACCACGGCAGATGCCCATGGACTCTTGGACGGCTGGATAATGTCATCCCGCAGCATTTCATCAACTTGTCTCTTCATGGCCTCACGTTCTCGCGTCGAAACCCTGTACGGACTCCGACATAGTGGTCGGGCATTTTCTTCGGTTATGATGCGATGTTTTGTGATTGGGGTCTGCCGAATTTTCGATGACGACGAAAAGCAATCTTCGTATTGCAGGAGCAGGGCCTTGAGCTGTTCTTGCTTATCGTTCGGAAGTCTGGGATTGACGTCGAAAGCTATGGGAGGGGCTTGGTTCCTCTGAGCAGGTTCCGCAGAATCGGCGAGGGCGAAAGCACTGGTGGCTTCGACAATTTCTTCGATGTATGCGACCGTTGTTCCTTTGTTCACATGTTTGTACTCATTGCTGAAATTCGTGAGCATAACCGTTGCTTTGCCTCCCCGCAGCTCTGCAATTTCTCTTGCGACGCAAATATTTCGGGTGACCAACAGATGCTGACTGCCTTCAACGACGCCTTCCAAGTCAGGTGATTTAGGAGCGCCGACTGAAATAATGACGCTTGAGCGAGGCAGAATGGTGACTTTTTCTTCCAGCACATTCAAGGCATGGTGTCCTGACGGCGTGCGCGGCGGTAGTGCTTCTTCTGTGGATAACGTTATCGACCTTGTTTTTAGGTTGATGATAGCACCATGGAGGCATAAGAAGTCCATGCCAAGGATGACATCTCTCGAGCAACGCTGTAGGACTACGAAGTCTGTGGGATAAATACGGCCGTTAATGGTGACTCTCGCTGTGCAGATTCCTGCAGGCGTTACGAGATGACCTCCGGCTGTGCGGATTTCAGGGCCTTTCCAAGCTGTCCTAACTTTCTTTAACTTCGCGGCGAACGACCCACTGATGACAGAATAGTCGGCTCCAGTATCGACGAGAGCAGTCACACTGTGGCCGTCGATAAGAACGTCGAGGTCGCTAGTTCACCGTCTCGCATTACAGTTAGGGCGTGGTGTCGGGTCACGGCTGCGTCGGCTTGTTCCGCTGCTTCCATGTTGCGTCGTCCAGCCACCTTCGGTAAGTGAGCTTTTGCCTTCAGGGCTTTTCCTGGTTGGGGTTGTGTTCAAAAAGCTTCGTCGCGTCGGCGTCGTCGTCGGAGGATCTTCGGTAGTTCGTCGCACAGCAACCGCACCTCCATCGGTTGCTGCCCTTAGTTTCCCGGATACGGGCTAGGAGACCGGCCCCGCGTTGGGCCAGAGCACTGCCGGGGGTGCGGTGACATGCGGCGGCTGGGCGACGGCGAACGGGAAGGACTTCGTGGTGTCCATTGAGTTCCTGCCAGGTAGTCGGCGATGTCACGTGGCCGATCTCCTGGCTGCGGACGCGGTGCATTGACGGCGAAGCCACGCAATCCCATCTGTCGGTACTGGCAACGGTGGTATGTGTGCCCGGCCTCGCCGCAGTGGTAGCAGAGCGGGCGGTTGTCAGGTGTACGCCAAACGTCCGTTTTTCTCGGTGCACTGCGTTGGCCCGCTGGGGAACGGTAGGACGTCGGTTGGGGTGGTGGCGGCGGTGGCGTGCGTCTGGCGACGGAAGTGTGACGGGGCGGCGTTTTGGCGTGGACGGGGAGGAGCGTTGTGGCGCTTTGCAGCGGCGTAGCTCATAGTTTCTCGCTCGGGCGGCGGTGTTTCGGGAATTCGAAGCGATTGCCGGACTTCTTCTCGCACAATGTCGGCGATCGAATCCACTTGAGGCTGCGCCGAAGGCAACAGTTTGCGCAGCTCTTCCCGCACGATCGCTCGGATCGTTTCACGCAGGTCGTCGGAGTCACTGGCTTGAGCAGCAGCGCATTCTGGAGTCAGGCGACGATTATACTGTCTGGTGCGCATGTCCAGCGGCGTTTTTTCGATGGTGGTCGCCTCGGATACAAATTCTTGGACGGTGCTTGGTGGATTCCTCATTAGTCCCATGAAGAGCTCCTGTTTGACCCCTCGCATGAGGAAACGAACTTTCTTTTCCTCAGGCATGTCTGGGTCAGCGTGACAGAATAGGCGGGTCATCTCCTCTGTGAAAATTCCAACGTTTTCGTTTGGTAGCTGAACCCGGGTCTCGAGTAGAGCTGCGGCCCTCTCTTTGCGAGCGACGCTTGCTAACGTTTGAAGAAATGCGCCGCAGAAGACATCCCACGTTCGGAGCGTGGACTCCCGATTCTCTAGCCAGGTCCTTGCGGTGTCTTCCAGGTAGAAGTACACACGACGGAGCTTTTCTTCATTGTCCCAGTGGTTGAGGGTGGCCACACGGTCGTATGTTTCTAGCCAGGTTTCCGGGTCTTCAAACGATGAGCCATGGAACGTTGGTGGTTCCCTGGGTTGATGAATGACGATCGCGGGCTGGGACGCTCCGGTTGTCATTGTCGCTGCAGTCGAGGTCATGGTCTCTGTCTTCCGCGCCTTGTCTTGTAGCAGGCCGTACTCCGGTGGGAGACCTTGCTATCGGCGGCTCGTTCGCTGCTCTTGGTTGGCATCGGTGTCTTCTCCGCGAAGGGGGCTGGGTTCACGGCTTGACGGGGGCGTGCGGTACATGAACGAAGCAGCACCTCCACCAGATGTCACGAGGTCGTGACGTGGCCGAAGACAGGAGACTTCGTGTTGGGATTTAACTGTTTATTTGGGCGAACCTGTGCCCGGTAAACGGAAAGTCCAATTACAGCAGCAGTCTCGCACAGATAGCAGTCTCGGACTGATAGCGGCGAACGCAGCGTCGGCCTTCGATCAACAACTGAGAAGCGGCGAAGCGCGTCGGCATTTATACCCTTGCTGTCGAATGTTCTAGCGTTATCGCTGGCGGTGGCGTAGGTTCCAGAACAATCTGTACCGTTCGCACAGTGGGCGTGATCTTATCGAAATGATCTACTACAGTCCGGAACCTTCTCGAAACCTGCAGGCGCGGTTTGCTCCGAGAATCGTGTGATGTTTCGGAACGATAACAAAAACTTGTGAAATGGAACGTGGCAATATGGTGGTTTTGGGACGTTAAACCCCACATATCAATGCTCCCTAGCAATCCGAAGTGACCCCCTTGAAATACGCTGCCTACACGTATTGCAAGGTAGTTCGTGTCCTGGGTCGATTAGCACCCTTCTATGAGACTCGATGGTCGCGCCGAATCGCCGTACGGTGTAACTCTTGATGATTATTTCCCGAGAGGTGACGCTTCTCCCAGTGCGCACTTGCCAACTGGCGAAAATAAGCACGCCGCTTGTCACAGGTATATATAGGCAGCATCATCGAAGTAACGTGCCAGTGCCAGCGTTGTAGCGCACTTTGAGTACTTCTGGCCTTTTCTGGACTATTTATTAGACCAATTTATTGAGCGCATTAAAAGGCATTGGCACACCTTGAAGATGCTTTATTTGTTTCTGCCACATAATATTTCCGAATCTGCCACTTTTACTACTGCCGAGAAGTTTTATGACGGGTACTTGGACATTATCTCTACTTCGACGTCGCAAGGGGAGTTAACGGAACGAGCTGCAAAATAGACGCGAGAGAAGCGAGAAACGCTGAGCGTGTCTGCAATGCAAGCGGTTGCCGATTGTCTTGAGGTATTCGTTACAAATGTGCACATTTTTCTAAAGATTCTGACAACTATGCCGGTGAACGCAGCTGAAGCAGAACGCTCTTTTTCATCGCTGAGACACCTAAAGTTCCACCTGAGAGCTACAACAACAAATAAAAGATAGTTTGGCATCTTCCCACCACCTAAACCTAAGCTAAGTCACCATCAAACTCTCACTTCAAGGCTATGGCAAATGGAGTCATACCCAAATACACACGCCCCCCCCCCCCCGCCATATACCTGGAACTCTATGATAATGATATATGCAACCAATGCAAACTCCCCCCGGCTACACTCATAGTGAATTCCCATGAGAAAACGGGA